TAAGCAGTTATGCTGGGACTCAAATTCACTCTGACAATAAAGCCACATTCTTCAACTTTACTATTATATCTTCAATGGCCACCTATTATAAATAATGATGCTGCTTGGGGCATTGTAAGATAAATATTTGACAAGTTTGGGAGATATCTATCCATCTGAGATCAAAATGTATGAATTAGAAACCTATATATCTACATATGGTACGTGTGTGCATATAAATATCTTTGTATACATATCTTCCAAACCTGTTAAACCTAAATATGCAGAATTGAAATCTCCATAAATATCACCTTTATGAAATCTTAAAAGTATCACTTTTATGAAATCTTATAAATATCACAAGGCAAAAAGCCAAGAAATGCAAAGAGGCAGGGAAAGGACTAACATTTACGTAGCTCCCCGTGTATCTGGCATTGAAGTTATTTCACGCAAGCCTCAAGACTTGCAATGCAGAGACAGTCCCCATTTTACAGATGAGGAAATGGTGGCTTAGAGGTTCATGGCCCAAGTTCGCACAGCTGCTAAGAGGCAGATCCACATTCAAACCAGGATTCCTGTGGGCTCAAAGCCCAGACTTCTAAAATTATTTTTACCGACATTTAATATCTTGTGCTGTTTTTATCTGTCTCCCGAGTGTCATTTCAAGTACTGTTAAAAAATAAACAAATGGAAAGAAAACAGAACAAGGAACGTTGCCCTGCCTCTTCAGTGTCTCATAGTTGAAAACAAGTGGAACATCCGTGTGGTCTCCTAAATCCTTACAAGCATGTCTGAGCCCATCCTGGAGCCCCTGCAGCCCATTCTATACCTGACTTGCATTCTCACTGATTGCAGAAGTTCTGCTCAGTTGCTTCAGGTTTCAAAAACTATATCTCCTGATAAGCAAACAGGCCTGAGGCCCCATCATCAGCTGTCTATCCCATTAACAATGAACAATGGGCAGGGAATGTCCGCTCCATGTACATCCCTGAGAAGAAGTTCAGTACCAGCTCCTGGGGACAAGCCACTGGACACCAGTTGCATCAGCACTGAGCATCGCTTCTGAATGCGGCCATTGTGGAGGCAGCCCCACCACATAGAGGGGACAGCGCCAAACGGACTGTTTTCTTTTTCTTTCTCTCTTTTAAAATGACATCACATGATTCCTTCACTTCGACATCAGATATCCTGCTGTTACAAGGAACAAGCCTGAATTATCTTCTCAAGCTGATTAGGAAAGATGACTAACGTGGTTAACAGTGGTTCCCGCAGGGAGTCAGGGGACTGGGACTTCAGTCTGCCCTGCTGATGGTGGTGCCTCTGATACAGAGTCCTACCCACATTATTTGTAAAGAAAAAAATAAAGAGAAGGCCGGGTGTGGTGGCTAGTACCTGTAATCCCAGCACTTGGGAGGCCAAGGTGGATGGATCACTTGAGCTCAGGAGTTTGAGACCAGCCTGAGCAACATGGTGAAACCCCATCTCTACTAAAAATACAAAATTAGCCAGGCACAGTGGCATGTGCTGGTAATCCCAGCTACTTGGGTGGCTGAGGCAGGAGAATAGCTTGAACCTGGGAAGCAGAGGCTGCAGTGAGCTGAAATTGTACCACTGCACTCCAGCCTGGGTGATAGACTGAGACCCTGTCTCAAAAAAAATTTTTAAAGAAAGAAAAAAAGAAAAAATTAAGTCCCAATTTTATCTCCATTCATAACACATGACTCAACACTCTCCTGCTGCACCTCCCAGATATCAGAGTTATTTTGGATCAAATGACACTTATTTACTAGGTTTTTTCGTCTTGGGCATGTTTAGAGCATTCTTTTGTCTCACCCCTGAGCTCCTACAACTCTATGATATTTGTATCATGGAACAGCCTCCCTAAAACAGGAAGGGGATGAGGGACAGGCATGTCGTGTTAGATCTGCCAGAATCAGAAACTCTGGTTCTAGCCCCGGCTCCCACGCAACCTGCCTGGCCAGGTGGCCTTAGACAACTCTCCACATGGCCTCCACAAGCCCTCCCAGCTCCTTTGTGCAAATGAGGAAAAGGTGACCCTCCAGGGGAAGCAGTCCTGCCAGCATCAGGCGTGGCAAAGTGTGCCCCCAGCTCAGTTCTGCCCCAGACCCTCAGCCAGGGCATAACCCGCACAACCATTGGCAGAGCTCCATTTCTCTGTTTCAGCATGTCAGTTGTGAAGTGGGACAGATCATGTGTCCCACCAAATTCTCTGCACTGATGAGACTAACAGGACATAGAGAACAGCTTCTGAAGTAGCCTATTGATAGGAGATTTCTGTTGCCCTGGTTCAATTCACCCTCACTTCCTGGGCACTCCATAATACTTTGGATGAAAAGCAAAGACACCGTTATGATTTTGAAGTTACTACTTCCACACTCAGAGGACCAGCTCCTTCAGAATTTGATCGAAAGCAGGGTGGGCTTTATAAGTGTGCAGCCTGTGCAACTGCACAGGACCCCATGCTCGGAAGGGCTCTGTGCTTGGTTTAATACTCTCATATTACCCTGTTGAAATTCTTAGTCCTTTTTGAGCAAGGAACCCTGCACTTTCATTTTGTACTAAGCCCAGCAAATGATGTAGCTAGTCCTATCAACAAGACTTCAAAAGCACCAAATAGCTTTCTTATATCTCACAACAGATTTGGATAAGGAAAACAGCAGGTGTCATTCTGTGACTTTAGAGTCATCCGACCCCTCTGTCGGATCATGGAAGCTCCAGTCATAGAATGCAAGGCAGTATTGACTACTGCTCAGAGCACAGGCTTTAGGAGGCAAATTGAGCTGGGTGCAGTCCTGCATCCTGCAAGACCTCAAACAAATGATCTAACCTGCCTGAACCCAGGTTTCCTTATTTGGCAGATAGACTAGTAATACCTACTCTTCCCTATGCATAATGAAGAAAGATCTATAAACTGCCTGGCATACAGCAGGTGTACAACAATGACATTCCCCTTCCTGGCTTGTTTCAGGGACAGATGCTTCAAGATGGGCCATGCCCTCACATTCCACAAATCAGGGAGGTGATAGGTGGCCCTGAAGATCCTTTCTGCTCTAGGAGTCTATAATTCTTCATTAACCAAAGCCTCAAGCCAGCTCACCTTCAGTCCACAGATATTAGCTAGGACACTTTGAATCACAAGGATGCACCAAACTCATATTAACTTAAACCAAGGAAGTTTGCTAGTTAATGAAACTGGGAAGCCCAAGGACACAGACACTGCCGTGTCTGAGGATTTGCACTGTGTTATATTCTCTCTCTGTCTCTGTCTCTGTCTCTCTCTCTCTCTCTCTCTCTCTCTCTCTCTCTCTCTCCTCTCCCCCCCCCCCCCCCCGCTCTCTCTCTCTCTCCCCCTCTCTCTCCCCTCCACCGCCCACTTTATGTAGTGGACAAAATGCCGCTAAGAGCCCTAGACTCACTCACTTTCACCCTAGCAGACCCAGTAGGAGAGAGACATGTATCTCTCTCAGTATCTATATATCAGCCAAGGGAAAGACTCTAATTGACTCAAATTCTGCTTGGATTACATCTACACAGCTGAACCAATCCTGACTGCCAGAGTCACAGGGCACGTGCCCACATGGGTGACCAAGGGCAGGACAAAGGGGTTCGAGCCTCATGACTGGCAGCCCCCAAGAGACCATACAATGGGGGAAGGGGAAATAAGGAAAATAAGGATACTGTGCAGAGAAAGGCAACATCCCCACTGAGCCGCATGCAGTTTACTGTTCACTTCCACTAGGTGCCGAAGGAAATGAGGCCGGGGAGAGTTGAACCGCACTGGTACCGCCAGCAGCGCTTAAACCAGCCTTACAGAAGGATAGAAAATATATGGACATGCTGGGCACGGTGGCTCATGCCTGTAATCCCAGCACTTTGGGAGGCTGAGGCGGGCAGATTGCCCGAGCTCAGGAGTTCAAGACCAGCCTGGGAAACATGGCAAAACCCCATCTCTACTAAAAATACAAGAAATTAGCCAGGTGTGGTGGCATGCACCTACAATCCCAACTACTGGGGAGGCTGAGGCATGAGAATCACTTGAACTCAGGAGGCAGAAGTTGTAGCAAGCTGAGATCACATCATTTCACTCCAGCCTGGATGACAGAGTGAGACTCTGTCTAAAATTGAAAAAAAAGTAAGAAAGAAAAGAAAATATATGGACACGTATCACTTAGGAGAAGCTCTGTGAGAAAAGGCAAAGGCAGGAAACTCGGGGTGTGTTCCTAGCTACCAGCTGCGTAACTGCAATTAACCTCACAGGTTTCCATTTTTGTGCTCCCAAAAATTTCCTTTTTAAGAAACTTTAAGTAAAAATGAATGTCAATTGAAAGGAAAATAAAAAGCAAACAATAATTTGCTTATTATTGAGACACAGGTAACTGTGGGTGCAATAGTGCATGTATTATGCCAATGACTGAAGTATGGGAAACAGCTCAGCACAGTATATAAACATGACTTTATCTTCCTAAGGAGCACTAAAACCAAAACTGTGCTTTTACTGGTTCCTATAGTGTCTCCAACAAACCAAAATATATGTCTCTCCTTGTATGGATGGCAAAGATCCAAGTCACCAAATGAACCTGTAGTAAGATCCTAGAACCCTCAGCTTCTGACCTATTCCTTAGACATAGCTGTGTCTCGTGGCAAGTGGGGAGAACCATCAATCCAGGACACTGGCCCACAGTATTATTCTTTGTATCAGAGGCAGACACACAAAGGTGAGGTTGATATGAAAATCCCTCATTGCAGAGCTGGCCAGGATGATTGTCTTTGAGAACAGAGGGACCCATTCTCCTGGTCATCCAAAGCCAGCTGGCCCCAAGGAGTACCAGCCACCTCTCTGGGGCAGAGTCTCCCCAGCTGATTTCCACATGTGCCAGTGTGTGGAGTGATTGGTCCCTGGTTAGGATGACTGCTTGGTCCTCTAGTTTGCTACCGATTTTACCCAGAGATCATTTAGCCATGTCTATATTGTCATCTCACCTTTTCAATTATTTTTCCAGGCTAAAGCAAGCAGTCCTCAGGGTTTTGATGTGGATCAAGATGCCAAAAAGCTGAACAAAGCCTGCAAAGGAATGGGTATGAGAGACATTTTGTTGCTAATTTACTTCTGAAGTTGATTAAACTTGGTCTCCTGTCCAACTTTCCCATGATGTTAGGAAGGGGACATCTCACCATCTGTGTATTCCAAGCTAACTCAAGTCAATCACTTCCATTGACCTCTTTATTAAAGTTCTTGAAATTATACTCAGATCCTGTTACTTTTCAGGATTCTATATAAGAGTTAAGAGTTGGATAGTGTGACATTTAATTCGACCTTGAGGTGAGAGAACCCTCATGAGAAGTACAGTTCATACAATCCTGGTGTATTAGTCTGTTCTCACACTGCTAATAAAGACATATCTGAGACAGGGTAATTTACAAACAGAAAGAGGTTTATAGGCTGGGTGTGGTGGCTCACACCTGTAATCCCAGCACTTTGGGAGGCCAAGGCGGGCAGATCACCTGACGTCAGGTGTTCAGGAACAGCCTGATCAACATGGAGAAACCCTGTCTCTACTAAAAATACAAAATTAGCCAGGCATAGTGGTGCATGCCTGTAATCCCAGCTACTTGGGAGGCTGAGGCAGGAGAATCGCTTGAATCCAGGAGGCAGAGGTTGTGGTGAGCCAAGATAGCACCATTGCACTACAGCCTGGGCAACAAGAGCAAAACTGTCTCAAAAAAGAAAAAAAAAAAAGAGAGAGAGAGAGATTTAATGGACTCACAATTCCACATGGCTGAGGAGGCCTCACAAGCATGACAGAAGATGAAACAAGAGCAGAGGGACTTCTTACATGGCGGCAGGCAAGAGAGAATTGAGAACCAAGTGAAAGAGGTTTACCCTTATGAAACCACCTAATCTCGTGAGACTTATTCACTACCACGAGAACAGTAGGAAGAAAACCAGCCCCATGATTTAATTATCTCCCACCGGGTCCCTCTCACAACATGTGGGAATTATAGGAGCTATAATTCAAGATGAGATTTGGGTGAGAACACAGCCAAACCATCTCACCTGGTATGATCTAAACCTCTCTGATCCCCTCCCTGGGAGATGATGGGGAAATTGAGTCTGATGAGAGCTGGATTAGGGACCTCGAAGCAGCATGTAGAAGTAGATCAAATGAGTGCAAAATTGGCCAAGAGCAACAATCAAGAGTTGAAAATGGAGAAGCTGTTTATATCCTAAGGGTCAGTGCATGGCCAAGACGGGGGAACTCAGCAAGAAGTCAAAACTAAGGCAGACCAGGGACCAGGGTGGGATGAGGGAGAGAGCTTCTCGGTCTAGGGCCATGAAGAGAGGTCCTATGATTCAAGGAAGCTGCTCATGACACAAGGTCTAGTCCCAGAAGCCTGGGAGAGGGTAAGATCCAAAGCACAGATGCAAGGATTTCCCTTGAACAGGACAGAGAGAGAAGGCGCTGAGACTGACAGCTGGAGTAGATAACTTCATGGTGTTGTTGGCGGAGAAACTGAAGGCACCCATGTCTGGTAACCTGACATTGCTTACTGAGTGGGAGGTGAGGTTATCTGCTGAAGAGAAGGGTTTGACAATGGGGCTTGTGTGGTGGCTTGAAATAGCCCTTGAGTAGCAGAGAAGGGGTAGACAATCAGCAGAAACAACTGATGCACACTGAGGGGCACACTGAGTAAAGAGATCATGGTTTCTCATGGCTCCAGACCATGTGGTTGTGTGATTTTCCCCTGTAGCCTTGAAGGTAAAATGAGAAATTGATTGACCCGGGTTTGCTGATCAGGAGTTCCAGAACAACAAGCAAGTGAAATCACTGAAGAGGACAGAGGGGTCAAAGGGCAAAGTGGATTCGTTTCCCAGATTTTCTTTTTTACATTATTGAGAAACTGTTAAGCTCTCAGGCATTGGGCTAAGCACTCCATATACAAATCTCAACAAGTTCTTACAAAAATCAATTTTCCAGCTGAGGAAACTAAGGATCTTCCATGTTAAGTAAGACAGTCAGTCACCAAGCCAGTAAGTGGGGAACACCGGGAGTGAACCTACTCTCAACACTCACTCCAAATGCCACTGATTTAGAGACATCCTAGCTAGGGCTCCTCAGCCACATGGCTGCAGTCCTGGAGGGGAGGGGGACAGACTAAGAAGACATTGCTCAGTATCATTAACAACAGGTAGGAGCCATCTCAGTCCACAGAATGTTTTATTAATTTTTCTGCTTATTGAGATATAATTTGCAAACCATAAAATTCACCCTTTTGCAGCATGCAATTCAGAGTTTTAGTATATTCACAAGATTTTGAAACCATCACCACTAATTCCAGAACATTTCATCACCCCAGAAATAAACCCCACACCTATTAGCAGCCCCTCCCTCCCTTCAGCTCCAGGCAATCACTATGCAGAGGCCAGCATCTCATTGTGCATATACACAGAGCCCAGCAGAGCCTATATGAAAGAATGTGTATGTATGAAAGAATGAATGAATGAATGAATCAGGAAGTTTGTATGTCATCATGACAGAACCTTGTCTTTGAAGTGGTGTAGGTTGCATGTGATACTCAGATGGGTCTGTGTAGCAAGGACCAATAGAAATCCTCCCTCTGATGCCACATGCAGCCCTCATCTGGATAATCAGGAAAATGAAATTAATATTTTCATCTCTACTAAAAATACAAAATTAGCCAGGCAAAGTGGCACATGCCAGTAATCCCAGCTACGGGAAGCTGAGGTAGAAGAATTGCTTGAACCTGGGAGGCAGAGGTTGCAGTGAGCTGAGATTGCACCATTGCACTCCAGCCTAGGCAACAAAAGCAAAACTCTGTCTCAAAATAATAATAATAGTATTTTTTAGACTTTATTCCTGGGAATTCTTTTAAAAAAGAGAGAGAGACCAATCCAAAATGCCCATTATTGATAGACTGGATAAAGAAAACGTGGCACATATACACCGCGGAATACAACACAGCCATAAAAAAGAATGAGTTTATGCCCTTTGCAGGGACACAGATGAAGCTGGAAACCATCATTCTCAGCAAACTAATGCTGGAACAGAAAGCCAAACACCACATCTTCTCACTCATATGCGGGAGTTGAACAAGGAGCCCAGCACTTCAGTGGCCCTAATATGTGGGTTGCCTCCTTTGGAACAATATTGTTCTGGGATCCAAAATCTTTGTGCTGGGATCCAAAGTCGGCACAAAGCCAATGAGATCAGTATGAGCATCAAGTAGGTACACTCTTGTTCTCCATTACTGAGGGCAAACTGGGTTGAATGGGGGCTCCCCAAAAATATATCCCCCCAGAACCTGTGAACATGATTATTTGGAAAAAGAGTCCTTGCAGATATAATTAAGTTAAGGATCCAGAGATGAGATTATCCTGAATTACCTGGGTAGACCATAAATCTAATGACTAGTGTCCTTAGAAGAGACAGAGGAGAAGACATACAGAGAGAGGGCCATGAGAAGATAGAGACAGAGATTAGAGAGATAAGGCCACAAACCCAAGAATGCTAAGTGTTCCCAGCAGAAGCCAGGAGAAGCAAGGAACAGACTCTGCCATTGGGCAGCTGGTGGGACTGTGGGCCTGCCGACACCAGGATTTCAGACTTCCACCATCCAGAACTGTGCGGGAATAGGCTGCTGTTGTTTTAAGCCACCAAATTTGTGGTCATTGAATCAGCAGCCTCAGGAAACTGAGACAGAGGATGAGTGGGAAGCAGTGACCTGCTCAGGCAGGCAGGACTGTGCCATTCTTTACTTCATCTTTCTCCCCTGCACTCCCACTTCCCAAGGAGAAATGAAGGACTTCGTGGCCCAGCGGTGATAGCAGAAGAGAGTGGCCCTTGAGCACCAGAGTGGGGTCTGCAGCCTCCTGGGCTCGGCAAGGCAGACTGGGCTGGTGTTGGAGCCCAAGAGAAAGCTAAGCCTCCACCACAGCCCCAATCACTGCTCTGGCTCCTGGGCCTGGGGGGTTTCCCACCCTGTCTGTGGCCCCCATTCCTGCTGAAATGTGACTCGGTGTCATCCCAGAAAATTTCTGGGAAAAGCAAAACCAAGGAGGCCAGGAGGCACTTCCTGAGGCTGATTATCGCCCCGGCTGTGACCTCTGCTGTGAAATTACAGTGTCCAGTGTGTGGCTCCTTCTTTTCTCATTTTAAAAAAGGCCTTTCCCAGAACCACTGGGGACTAGCCCTTGTGCCTCAAACCATTGTAAGTATTTACAGGAAATCATTCAGCAGCACTGCTTATATGACACACATATTGTGAAATGTAGAGTTAGGTCACTGTTCAGTGACCGGGTGGTAGAAACATCCCCAGAACAGCCTGAGACCTGGACTCAAAGACGACTTCGGGGAAATCCAGTGTCGTTTTCATGGCCTCCCCCACCTCCAGGTTGTTGCTGGCCCACCTCAGGACTGTTTTGCAATCTGGTTTTTTTTTTGCTTTGCTTTTTTTTAGCTTTAAAATTTCATAGACTTTTATTAGGTTATTATTCTTCTTCTTTAAGTTCTGGGATGCATGTGCTGAATGTGCAGGTTTGTTAGATCAGTATACTTGTGCCATGGTGGTTTGCTGCACCCATCAACCCATCATCTACATTAGCTACTTCTCCTAATGCTCTCCCTCTCCTATTCGCCCACTCCTCTACAGGGCCTGGTGTGTGATGTTCCCCTCCCTGTGTCCATGTGTTCTAATTGTTCAACTCCCACTTATGAGTGAGAATATGCAGTGTTTGGTTTTCTTTTACTATGTCAGTTTGCTGAGAATGATGGTTTCCAGCTTCATCCATGTCCCTGCAAAGGACATGAACTCATTCTTTTTTTATGGCTGCATAATATTCCATGGTGTATATGTGCCACATATTCTTTATCCAATCTATCATTGAAGAGCATTTGGGTTGGTCTCTCTCTTTTCGTAAAGTATTCCCAGAAAGAACGTCTAAAAAACACTATTATTTTTAATATTAATTTCATTTTCCTGATTATCCAGATGTGGGCTACATGTGGCACCAGAATAGGGAGGATTTCTATTGGTCCTTGCTATGCAGACCCATCTGAGTATCACATGCAGCCTACACCACTACAGAGACAAGGTTCCATCATAATGACATGCAAACTTCCTCATTCATTCATATATGCACATTTAAGCATCCATTCATTCAGCAAATCAGCTGATAAATACTGACAGCCTTCTGTTGGAATACGGTGGTAAATAAAACACTCTGCTCCCTTGGAACTTGGAGTGTGTCCTGTTAAAGACAGGAAGAGCAGGCAGCATGCAGGACACAGAGGGAGAGAAGCCTCATCCATCCGGAAGTGTGCAGGGAGTTGAGACCTGAAGGAGAAGTGGGAGTGGAGGTGAGGATCAGCATGTTCCAGATGGGGGTAACAGCCCATGCAAAGGCCTAGAGGTGAGAGAGAAAGTGTTGTTTGTTCTAGGAGCTGCAAATCATCTACAAGGTGGGTGGAAAGTAGCTTGGGAGAGAACAGGTAGAAGGATGAGATTTTGAGAGGCCAAATGACCCCATAGGCCCCACTGGAGAGTTGAAGCCTCATTCTGCATTTGAAAGGGCCTATACTGAAAAGTTTGGAGTAGAGGGGTGAGCAGACCAATCTGCACTTCAGAATGGTTGTTCTGGGGGTGGTGAACGCTGATTGGAAAAAGTGAGAGCAAGAGAGGAACCTGCATGTGGGTGGCATCTGTCGTTCTGCTGAGTGATGGGGTGGAGGTGAGGATGGAGAGAAATGTGTGCATCTGAGAGGCACTAAGGAGGTAGAATGGAGAGGCCTTAGTCTGAGTGAATGTGGGGCAAGGGAAAAGGGAGAGCCAGGTTTGGGCCCCAGCTTCCTGGCTGGCCCAGTGCAGTGAATGGGCCTCCTGCGGGCAGAAAGGCTCTTTCCCAGCTTGGCACCTGCCAGGATCCAGGACTGAGAGGCCAAGGCTCTTATCTGGGACAGGAGCAGCCTGAATGGAAAGAAAGGGGTAGGTTCAAGACATATTTACAAGAAAAAGAAATCCCTTTTAAAGTGAGATTTCTGGCACTCAGAAGTTTTTTAAAAAAAAAAAAATCACAATAGCGTCATAGAACGAGTAACTGGATACCCATGATGGAGGCGAAGCTCCGGAAGGAAATGAAGGGGAACAAGGTAAATCCTGGTGTTGGAACCAAGCCAGCACCAGGCAGGCAACTCACTCCTGTTATTTTCGCAAGTGAGTTCATCCTAGAATTTTCTGTTTCTCCAGTTGGAACCAAACAGCTAAACGTTCCCAGAGCTGTAGAGGTGAAAATACTCCTTGAGGTTGTGAACGGTTCAAGGACCCAAAGATTTGGAACCCAGTTCTCAAATCAGATTCCTGCTCAGGACTCTCTTTCTAAGTCCCGTCTCTGTCATTCTGAAATTGACTTTGAGGGCTGGTGCCAGAGCGGAGGGAGGGCAAACAGCTCACATTTTTTTTTCCCAGGGCTCCCTTTTTTTCACTTCCCCATCTCCAGCCAGGTTTCCTCCATTCATTTCCCATTCCCATGGCCTAGACTTTTCCCGCTGTCAACCCTTTCATCAAAATTCATCAGCACGATCTTGTTTCTTCAGGATCCCGATGGCTCAGCTGGGTAGCAGCCGTTTATCCAGGTCCATCCACCAACCAGAGCCAGACAGCAGTAAGTGGCACCGTAACAGGACAATCTGCCATTCAGTGGCCCCTCCCGCCCAGGTGCCGGGCTCGGACTGTCCGCACTGCAGTCTTAGATACTCACTGCAGTGATCCTACAAATATACGTGTAAATAGTGTGCTGTGGAAGAACAGAGGAAGCAGAAACTTAAATATGGCCGAGATTAGATGAATAAGCCTTGGGCTGCTGTGCACAGAGATGGGGCCAGAAGAGTAGTATGACACCAAACTTTGGGCAGCCTCAATGTCACTGTAAGGGCTTCTGATTTAATTCCACGAGTCAAGAGGAATCACTAAAACTATTTGAAGTATGGCATGAAATGAACATATGCGAGCGTCCCAAGGTGGATGGCAGAGAACAAAGCCTGATATTGGGGTGGGGGCTAAAAACACTTAGGGCCCGTTAGGCAGGGACCGTAGCAGTGAAGGAGAGGAACAGGTCAAAGAGTGTCTCGTAGGTGAGACAGACGGGACTTGGTAGTATTTGAGAGTAAAAGAGACAAGTGGGCCCTCAAAGGTGACTTCGGATTTTCTCTAATACAGGTCATGCCAGGTGCTGAGACAAAGGAACAGGGTGGGGAGTAGATTTAAGGATAGACAAAATGAGTTCAGTTTAAGCTATGATGAAAGTTGAAATGCCTTGGGAAATCCATGAGAAGTTGGCTACAGGCAACTGAAAATAAGGCCTGAACTCAGAGGAGAAATTAGGACTAGAGGCACTGATCTTGGATTCATCAGTGAAAGGGTGACAGTAGCCTGGGAAAGGAGTGACTCCAGCTAAAGAGGAGAACTGAAAACCGAGTTTAAAAGGCAAGTGGAAGAAGAAAGGCCAATCAAGGATGCTGAGAGGGAGGTGATGGAGAGGAGAAAGGAAGAACCAGGAAAGGTTGTTCAAAGCAATCTAGGAGGGTGTTTCACACAAAGAATTGTCAACTGCAGGCAGGACGTGGTGGTTCACACCGGTAATCCCAGCACTTTGGGAGGCTGAGGTGGGCAGACCACCTGAGGCCAGGAGTTTGAGACCAGCCTGACCAACATGGTGAAACCCCATCTCTACTAAAAACAGAAAAATTAGCTGGGCATGGTGGTGTGTGCCTGTAATCTCAGTTACCCGGGAGGCTGAGACAGGAGAACTGTTTGAATCCAGGAGGTGGAGGTTGCAGTGATCATGCCACTACACTCTAGCCTGGGTGACATAGCCAGACCCTGTCTCAGAAAAAAGAATTCCCTGCTGCAGAATTCAAATGCTGTAGAATGGTCAGGTATTCGCAGGAATGGAGAAGAGGCGCTGTGTTGTACCTTAGCTTCCTCATCTGTAAATAAGAGTTTGGACAAGAATGCCTCTGACGCTTCCTCCAGCTCCTGTGACTGCTGAGTGCTGTGCCTTGATCCCAGCGAGCTTAGTCACTGGGGTGAGCAATTCATGGAGGCTGGTCCCTGTGCAAGCCCTGCATGGATGTGAGGCAGTGCCAAGCACCTGGTCATTTACACCTCCTGGTGTCCTGGCTTTCCCAGGTGCACTCTTAGGACTACCACGGACTGGACCCATACTTGGATCCTCACATTTCATTCTCTCAATAGCCTTGTATACTATTACCCCCATCTTACAGGTGGGAAACTGAGACTTGGCAAGGCAAATCCAGTGTCATGTAGTCTGTACAGGGTGGACCCATGATTTGAATCCAGTCTGAAGAAATCTAACATGGGGTTTGATATTAAAACAGTCCTTCTCATTCCCACACTGGCAGTACCTGGGTCATCTTTCCAATCCTGGTTCCTGGTTCAAACAAGGATTTTCTCCCCTTCTTTCTTATTCACTATAGTTTTCAGTACTGATGAAATTGCTGCCATGAGCCTGCATTACTTTGAGCATCAGGGAAAAATCTTTTTTAAAAATAGCATAATTCGGAGGTAATAGGAGTCAAAAGGGGCAACCCTTCCTCATGGTTTCAATCAGGACTTCTCTCCTGAAATTAACAAGTACATGGGTGGGATTAATACTGTAACAATTTGAGCCTGTATCTTAGTCTTGTTCAGGCAATTGTAAGCATCCAGAGGCCGAGGAACAGCCCATACTTTTCCTTGTTGCTTTTTAAAAATGTTTTTATTGAGCTATAATTCATGCACCATATAATTCACCCTTTAAAGTGTTTAATTCAACAGTTTTTTAATACTCACAGACACATGCAACCACCACCACAGTCGATTTTAGAACATTTTCATCACTTCAAAAAGAAGCCTTGGACTCCAGCTACCATCCCCCTAGGCAGTCCACCCACCCCCAGCCACTAGTATACTTCCAGCCTCCGTATATTCTCCTATTCTGGACTTTCCTATGAATGGAATTATATAACACGTGATCTGTGATGATTGACTTCTTTCACTTAGCATCATGTGTTCCAGGTTCATGCGTATTCTAACATCTGTCAGTAATGCATTCCTTTTTCTGGCCAAATAACATTCCATTGCATGGAGACTCCACATTTTGTTTATTCATTCTTCAGGTGATGAACATTGGGGTTGTTTCCACTTTGCAGCTATTATGAGTAATGCTGCTATGAACATTCACGTACAAGTGTTGTATGGACATAGGTTTTCATTTCCTTAGGAATAAAATTAGGGAAACGGCCATACTCGTTTCTCTTTCCACAGCGACGCCTAGCACTGTGTGCCATGCGCTGTGAGGCCTCAATGGCTATTTGTCTGAGTGAAAAGAATACAGTTTGCAGCACAAGGCATCAAAGCTGAGGGTCCATTTTGTTCCATAGACGCCTCCAACCACCTTTAAGCTGTGAGTCCTGGCTTCCTCACCCAGGACTAAAAAAACTTCCATCTTATTTCTTGTTCACTGTGGCTTTGTTTGTTTCTCCTGCATTTTAGGAACCAATGAAGCAGCTATCATTGAAATCTTATCGGGCAGGACATCAGAGGAGAGGCAACAAATCAAGCAAAAGTACAAGGCAACATATGGCAAGGTGATTCCAGGGGTGGTGAGCAAGCGCACACCCAGCCATGGCCTCGGCCGTCTCAGCTTCCCCACGTCCCCACAGCCACACAGAGTATCTTTATAGCTTTATCAAGTCAGCCCAGGAGGAAAACTGAAATAACCACTTAAAAGCGTTCATGAAATTCAGAAAAACTGAAATTGCTCGGTTAACTTAATAGTCTGTAAAATCAACCCTTTTAAACTCATTATTTCTTAAATTGACTTCATTTTTCTATTAAGACCCTAGTGGTTTTTTTACTTAATTTGGACTAATTTTATATATGTAGATAGATCAGTAATTTGAAAATCAGTTTCCGCAGGTGGGTCTTTATACAGGAATTTTTCATACGTGATTGTTACAGAAAACTGAAAAAAAAATACCCTCCGTTTCATTAAACTATCAACTCCTTTTTTCTTTACATTTTCTCTCTTTTCTTTCATTCTTGTTATTGTTGAAAATAATGTTATATAGAGAAGTCTTCAGTTATGCATTAAGCTTTCTTATTTCTTTATTAATATATAATGGACACAACCTTTTCTCAGTGTCATTAGTATTATTATGCAAAATGAATATCCATTATTATGCTGTATTCTCATTTATATTTATCAAACCTTTACCATTTCAATCACTATATATATAAATAGATATCTAGAAAGATGGAGATGGGTTTTCCTATTTATTTGATATTGAGCAGGTAACAAGTGCTTCAGGCCTTGGTCTTTTCATGGATAGAATGAAGATAATAACTTAGCTCCCTTCTCAGGTTGCTGGGAGAATCAGTCAAGATAATGCCAGCATGTACCAATACTGAAAAGCGATGATAGCTATGATTGTTTCCATTTTACACACAGGAAAAGTAAAGCGTATATGTATAAATGACTTATGGAAAATCACACACCTAACAAAGAAAAAAAAAAAAAGAAGAGCCAGGGCTCACATCCAAATCTCACACCCAAGTCTTCTGACTTCAAGAACAGGATCCATTCCTGAAGGACCCAAATACCCATAAGTAGAGCTATTTACACACACACTAAATGGTCCCAATGGCTGTGCTACTGTGCTTTTTCTCCTTCTCTCCTTACTGTTAGGCTCGTCAACATAATTTTTGTGAAAGTAAGTGCATCTTCAGTTCAATTACATTTACTTAAATGGATGCAGCTGATTTTTTTTTTTTTCAGTCGTAGCCTCACTCTTTCGCCCAGGCTGGAGTGCAATGGCGTGATTTTGGCTCACTGCAACCTCTGCCTCCTGGGTTCAGGTGATTCTCCTGCCTCAGCCTCCTGAGTAGCTGGGATTACAGGCACATGCCACCATGCCTGGCTAATTTTTGTATTTTTAGTAGAGATGGGGTTCACCATGGTCGTGAGGCTGGTCTTGAACTCCTGACCTCATGATCTGCCCACCTTGACCTTCCAAAGTGCTGGGATTACAGGTGTGAGCCACTGCACCTGGCCTGAAGCTGATCTTTTATCCCTGTCAACATCCGTAACTCCAGTAGCCTCCCAAGACACATTCACCTTACCAATATGAAAAGTCAGGCCAGGCAGGGTGGCTCACATCTGTAATCCCAACACTTGGGGAGGCTGAGGCAGGTGGATTGCTTGAGCCTGGGAATTTGAGACCAGTTGAGACCCTCATCTCTACCAAAAATTAAAAATTAGCTGGGTGTGGTGGTGTGTAGTCCCTGCTACTCAGGAGGCTGAGGCCAGAGGATTAAGCCCAAGAAGTTGAGATCGCAATGAGCTGTGAAGGCACCACTGCACCCAGTCTGGTGATAGAGTGAGACCCTGTGGAAATGAAAGAAAGAAAAGAAAAGAAAAAGAGAGAACGGGAGGAGGGGAGGAAGGAAACGAAGGGAAGGAAGGAAAGGAAATAAAAGAAAGACAGATGGAAAGAAGGAAGGAGGGGAGGGAGGGAAGGAAGAAGAAAAAAGAAGAAAGAGAGAAAGAAAGAGGGAGGGAGGAAGGAAAGAAAGGAAAGAAGAGAAAGAAAGAAGAAAGAAAGAAAGAAAGAAAGAAAGAAAGAAAGAAAGAAAGAAAGAAAGAAAGAAAGTCAGATACAATGCTTCTCAATCTTTAGTATAAAGAAGAGTAAATGGGTTCAAAGTGAAAGCCTAGGGGTCCTGTTAAAATTTAAATGGGGCCGGCCTGGTGGCTCACGCCTGTAATCCCAGCACTTTGGGAGGCCAAGGTGTGCAGATCACTTGAGGTCAGAAGTTCGAGACCAGCCTGACCAACATGGAGAAACCCCATCTCTACTAAAAATACAAAATTAGCCAGGCGTGGTGGTGGGCATCTGTAATCCCAGCTACTCGGGAGGCTGAGGCAGGAGCACTGCCTGAACCCAGGAGGTGAAGGTTGTGGTGAACCAAGATCATACCACTACACTCCAGCCTGTGCAACAAAAGCAAAACCCCATCTCAAAAAAAATAAAATAATAAAATTTAAATGGGCATGTTCTAGCACAAAATTTGTGATACTTCATTTGCCAGTCGTTTGCTTACTTTCTAGTTCTCAGCTGCATTTCAGAGAGCTGAGACTGCCAAAGAGATGATTTAGAATCCCAACATTGCAAAGCTGGAAGATGGTATGATCCAATCTAAACCCCGTGTCAGTTGACCTCCAAAGAGAATAACCATCCCATGGTAACACAGAGTTAGCAGGAAAACCAGGACGAGAGCTGAGCTCTCCTGAGCCTGCTTCTCCGTCCAGACAGAATGTAAGCACACAGCATGTGTTTTTATGCCTGTGGCTTGTAAGAGTGGGAAGCTGGGATTTCTCTTCTCTGCAGCCATATAGAATGCCCACCTGGCTTGAAAATTATTTCCAGTTTTTAGATGGCTCCAGATCATAGAGAACTGACCTCAGACCTGCCTTCACAAATTGGGATGTTGGCTGGAGTGGCCACTCTGGGGCAGAGGCGTCGTATTACACCCCACTTTTAGGACTGCAGATCCCAGGACTTTGGACAAAGATATTCCAGGTTTTTCTCCCAGGCCAAGAGCTCAGAGCTTCATTTGAGAAACAGTTGATTTGCCTCCTCTTAGAAAACCTTTTTTTCAGCATGGGAGATTAATAATAAGCATTTGTTGGCCATTTAGAATGTGTCAGGCACTATGCTCCGTATTTACAAGGATTGTCACATTTACTTCTCCCAACAACCCTGCGAGGTCAGTCTTGTACTGTCTCCATTTTCCAGAGCTGAAAACTGGCAGTTGGTGGAATTCAGTACATTTCCAAGGTCACAAAGCTACTGTGGCTGTGTTCTCGGCCACCGTGCCACACTGCTGGCAGCTGCCCACCCTATGCTATAGCTTGTGTCCTTGAAATGCCAGGTGGTCTGTGGGCCTCCAATCTGAGCCACCCTGGGCTATTGCTCTATGTGAAGGCTTTTGCATAGTTGGGGCGTTAACTACTCTAGGTAGGCTGATGCCCATTCTTGACCATTTTCCCTGATTTTGTTTTTGTTTTTGTTTTTGTTTTTTCCAAGACGGAGTCTTGCTCTGTTGCCAGACTGGAGTGCAGTGGTGTGATCTCAGCTCACTGCAACCTCCACCTCCCAGGTTCAAATGATTCTCCTGCCTCAGCCTCCCAAGTAGCTGGGACTACAGGCGTGCACTACCACACCCAGCTAATTTTTGTATTTTTAGTAGAGACAGGGTTTCACCATATTGGCCAGGATGGTCTCTATCTCTTGACCTCATGATCCCCCCGCCTCAGCCTCTCAAAGTGCTGGGATTACAGGCATGAGCCACCACACCCAGCCCATTTCCCCTGTTAAATCATGTTGTCAGAAGGAGATAGGGGGAAGGGAGTTAGCTCACTTGTCAGAACAGATGCCAGGCTGGGGGTCATGGTGGCTCATGCCTATAATCCCAGCACTTTGAGAGGCTGAGGTGAGAGAATCACTTGAGCCTAAGAGTTTGAGATTAGCCTGGGCAATATGGCAAAACCCCATCTATACACACAAAAAATTTAAAAATTAGCTGAGCATGGTGGTGTGCACCTGTAGTCTCAGCTACTTGAGAGGCTGAGATGGGAGGATTATCTGAGTCCAGGAGGTAGAGGCTGCAGTGAGCCATGATTGCACTATGCACTCCAGCCTGGGTGACACAGTGAGACCCTGTCTCAAAAAAAGAATAAGCAGATGCCAGTAAGAATTCCATGCACTTCCCCTTCTACATACCTGCGTTCTTCCTCACCTGCGTCTCTTCCAGGATTTAGCGAGATAACTGGAGGGATGGTACAGGCTGTCGGTTTTTCCACGACAATCCTCTTTATTCCTGTTGTCCTCTGCAATTGCTAATAGTGCCCCTTTCACACTAAAAAGCTTCCCAATTCGGATCACAAATTCTCTGGTCCTCCTAGAGATAACAGCCCTGTATTTCAGTCCTTCCTAGCTGAATATTTGGGGAAAATTCTTTATCTTCTGAGGTTCAACAGATCTTGAGGGCTTTTCAGCCCTCTTAAGGATTGGCTGAAAAAGCTCTCTGAGCTCTCAAATGTTCCACAGATACTGTTGTTATTGTGATTCATCTGTGAGGTCTCCTGAGCCGGGAGCTCCTCTCCACCTCTCTGCCAGGCCCAGGGGGAAGGTGGGCGGGCAGCTGAGAGCAGGTGGCATGTGCTGGATCACTCCCCACATGTCCACAGCAGCTTTCTTGTCAACCATAAGCACTTGCAATAGTGCAAGCAGACACCTGCCCCTCTCCTCCTGGGCCATTCCCAGCAGGTGTCTCACTGTCTTCCTGCAGGACCTGGAGGAGGTACTCAAGAGTGAGCTGAGTGGAAACTTCAAGAAGACAGCCTTGGCCCTTCTGGACCGCCCCAGCGAGTATGCTGCCCGGCAGCTGCAGAAGGCTATGAAAGGTCTGGGCACAGATGAGTCTGTGCTCATTGAGGTCCTGTGCACGAGGGCTAATAAGGTCAGTCCCAGCTGAGCCCGCAAGGGAGCATCACACACCCAGTAGAGATGGATGTAGTCCCCAGGAGGGACCCTACTTCCCAGCGTTCTATCCATGGAGGGAGCAGGTGTCTGGGCAGAAATGTGTGTGCTTGGTCCATGTGGGAGGACATCTCTTCCAGTCCTCCAGAGGTCAGTCTTGGGGTTGCTGCCCTTGACAGAATAGATCTTTCCAGAAGAGCTGTGTCCAGTGAGCTTCTGCTTTTCTAAACTGATGCTTTTATATGCAGGAGGCACAATTCTACTTTCCCCTACCCAGCCTGACTTTGTGGCTCTTCCAGCATGAAAAATCAACAAGCAGCACAAGCATGTCTGTGTCGCTGCCTGGGCCACGGCTATCACCTGGCACCTAGCGTAGGGTACAAAAGAGACTATGATGAGGAAGAGAGGTGAGTAGCGCTGGGGGATGCCAGTGAACACCCCAGTGGCTACCAGTACTACCCTGAAGGGTTGTGTCCTTCTGTCGACAGAAGCTGAAGAGGGCTTCTGTTGAGGCCCCAGTGGAGGTCTATTTGTCTCTGGCTCCAAAAGCCAGGAGAACCAAGGGATTCAAGAGTCAAGAAGGTCCATGAGATAATTCATAGGAGAGACCCCTCCTTCTTCAGCTCCCACACATGACAGCGGAATGGGGCAGCCCAGCAAGGAAAATGCCAGAAGAGCCCAACATTCTTGAGGCCTCTCAGCAGGAAGTAGAAATAGAGATTGGAGCAGACAGAAGGCTAAATGGAAACAGCACCCTGATGCAAAAATGGCTGGAGAAGGCCTTGGCACTGGGCCCTGCTCACGCTGCTCAGCTGCTTTTCCCAAAGGGCCGCTGGGAAAACCTTTTCCAGAGCATCCCTGGACTTCCTTCCTCCCCACAAGATAATAAAATGTCCTCCATTTCAAAGAGTCTCAGGTTGGGATGGTGCTTTGGAGGAGGGTTAACACAGGCCCCCCAGGGTGTGAGTTGAGGTCAAGTGGCACCAACTTCCCCCACTCAGCATCCACCCTCCCCAGAAGCACCAAGGTCCCAGCAGGGAAGCAGCCAACGCCAGGATGGTCAGCACCTGCCTTTGTATAAAGGTTAATTTCAATATTTTTTAGGCCAGGTGCAGTGACTCACACCTGTAACCTCAACACTTTGGGAGGCTGAGGCAGGCGGATCACTTGAGGTCAGGCAGAGTTTGAGATCAGCCAGGCCAACATGATGAAACCTCGTCTCTACTAAAAATACAAAAATTAGCCAGGTGCAGTGGCGTGCACCTGAAATCCCAGCTACCTGGGAGGCTGAAGCAGGAGAATCACTTGAACCTGGGAGGCAGAGGTTGCAGTGAGCCAAGGTCGCACCACTACACTCCAGCCTGGGCAATAGAGAGAGACTTCATCTCAAAAAATATATCCATGTATATTTTTCTTATTTGACCATAGCTTTTTGTCCCTCATCCAAGTTCTTTAAGGTCCTGACTTCAGCCAATCAGTGAGACCTCTCTTTCAATCAAATAGATCTGATGGGATGAGAAGAAAAACCCACAGACAGCAGGTGCCAGGTTCAGGCAGATCCTGGTCATGGGTTGGAAGGAGAAAGGGGAGGGAGCTGCACAGGCACAAGTGATAGCCTCTGGGGACCTGGCCTGCCCCCTCCTCCACCCAGAAGCACAGCAGCGAGGCTCCATCAGGAAACCTGTTCTTACATGCTGCTGATTCAAGTGTAAACTGAGGCAGCTCCTGAGGTGCGCCCCTTGGCACCATACATTGAAATATAAAGCATTTCTTCCCAGAACACACCCTCAAGAGAAACTAGCACTCCTGCACACAGCCAGTTGGTGACTGAATGAAGCCTTGTTTGAAGGAGAGAAAACTTGGAAACGACCTAAGCGTTCGTCCATCCATAGAAGGTTGGCTAAGCAAACCGTAGCTCATTGTAGTATGAAACATTTTGTGTCCCTTTAAAAAACTCTAGGTGACTATCCATGTCCAAGCACAGCTAGATCTCCAGGATGTTATTATTGAGAGACAAAATAAGTCAAAGAATGATAGGTACAGTATTCCACCCGCTCAACACTCGACACCTATACAATTCTGTTTTCAATAGCACATATATATGTATACAAATGCAAAAAAAATCTGTGTATCTTTCTGATACACTCCGAACTTCCAACGTGGGTTACCTGGATGGGGATGAGAGAGGGAGACCAGGCGAGGAGGTGGTGAAAGAAGGTGTTAGTTAGCCTAGCTGTAAACGTTTCACTTTTAACAAAGGAGAATGTATGCATGTGTTACTTGTGTGTTTGAGTTATATGCGGGGGGTGGGGGGTGCCTTCACATCCCCAGGGACTCACTCCAGGCCTGCGCCCTGGACCCATAGAAATGATTGTCCTAAGAGGAAGTCATGAAGGCACCCTATGTCCAGACAGTCTCCCGCCTCTTCTCTCTGTAAGCCTTGGTGTCTCTTGTTGATTAATCCCTCCTTGGAGTACTGATTTTTTTTAATTACCTTCCCCAGGAAATCATCGCCATAAAAGAGGCCTACCAAAGGAGTAAGTGACCTTTCATCCTGGCTTTGGACAAAGTATGTTTCTTTCAAAATACCTCTGGGAAACTAAATCATCTGCTTTCTTCCCTCGTTTTTTACTTCCTTCAAAGTATTTGACAGGAGCCTGGAATCAGATGTCAAAGGTGATACAAGTGGAAACCTAAAAAAAATCCTGGTATCCCTGCTACAGGTAAGAGTAAAGAGATATCACCTATGTTATCATCTTAGCAAAGAATCCTCGGCAACGTGGCACCATGATGAAAAGGGTAACGTAGATAAACATTTCTTTCTTTTATTAAAAATGTTATCTAAGGATCGTCAACCCATGCTTCCTCGGCCCAGCTCTGGTGAAATTATATCCAGCTGGGATTTCTTCCATAAAAACAATCTGCCTAATCATTTGCAGTTTACAATTCCTTTTTGTAAACAAATCAGCTCATTAAGCATCACTTTCTCATTTTGCCTAGGAGGAAATGTTGGCCATGAGAGGGTGGGTAACCTGCCCTGGTTCATGCAGCCAGTAAGACACAATCCAAAGCAAGAACCAGACCATCGGACCCCAAGCGGGGCCGCTCCCACAACACAACTCTGCAGTTACTCCCAGGATTCACTGGAGCCTAGGTCTGTAAGAACTACCGCAAAAAACTCAGGCAGGAAATCAGGGCTTTCAGAATTGGCCCTGCTGGGACACACACCCCCTCACCAGGACCTCCAAACAGACACATCTGTATTCTCATGGACACACACATCTTTATGAGCTCTGTGCGTTTTCTGTTTTATTTCTCCTAGTGGGATAGATGGACAGCAGAGAACAGAACAGAGACTTCCACTGTAGCAGGAAAGGTGTTTAAGTTTTCTCTTGCTGTATAACCAACTGCGACAAACTTAGCACCTCAAAACGACATAGATCTATCATCTCACAGTTTCCATGGGTCAGGAGTCAAAGTAATATCTTGGAGATCCAGCTGGGTAATATCTTGGTTTCGCTGAGTCCTTTGGTCAGGCTCTCAATAGGCTGAAGTCAAGGCGTTGGCCAGGGCTGCTGTCTCATCTGAGGCTCGAAGTCTTCCTCCAGGCTCATTAGTCGTGGGCAGAATTCATTTTCTTACGGTTGTGTTCCTGATGTCCCCATTTTCTTGCTGTTGACCAGAAGCTACTATCATGTCCTAGAGACCGCTGGCAGCTTCCTGCCACATGGTTCCCCAAGGTAGAGCACCACGTGGCTGTTTGGTTTCTTCCACTCCAGCAGCAGCTCATTTCTGACTTCTTCCATCTCTGACCTTTTAAGAAGAGCTCACTCAATTGGGTCAGGCGGACCAAGGATAAACTCCCTTTTGATAAACTCCACTGATATGAGACCTGAATTATATCTGCAAAATTCCTCATTGCCATTGAACATAACACAATCACAGCAGTGACATCCCTCACCATCATAGCTCTCACCCACGCTCAAGGGAAGGGGATTATGCAAGAATGTGGGCCATTGGGTCATCTTAGAATTCTGCCCACCACAGAGGGCTCAAGTTAGACTTCCATGACCAACTCTCAGGGTTCTTTAGCACTGGGACCTTGAGTGGAGAAATCTGATGTTTTGAAACGAAGACAACTTGCTTTCTGATGGACTCACTCTAGGGAACTCAGAGATCACACTCAGCCTGCTCAGAGGTCACTGGGGTTTGTGGGTGACTGGTTTCTCCAAAATAAAAGGCAAAAAACCAAGTGTTGCCACAGAAGCTATTCTGTTTATCCGTTGAGCCCAAAAGATGGCAGCAAAGAGCAGGTGTTGCCTCCTTGCCAAGCTGAACTGAGCTGAGCTGAGCTGAGAAAAAACTCACCTCTTTCTCCGGGACTGTCTTTCTGTTTTCTGTGGTCAAGCAGGAATGCAAGTTAATAACAATGTGTCGATTTTTCTAGGCTAATCGTGATGAAGGAGATGACGTGGACAAAGATCTAGCTGGCCAGGACGCCAAAGATCTGTATGATGTATGTGTGCAGACATGCCAGTCTCTGAAAATTCTTTTTTAAAATTTATTAGCATTATTTTCAACAAATGTTTATTTCATTCAAAGAGGAGTTACTTGGGAAATAAGTATGACCTTTAAGAAACAAATATGCTTAGATCTTTATAGAACACTTACAGAGTCTCCATGAATCTAAATGAATGGTTCCTATTCTTATACTCTGGGGTCGACCACATCAGATCCGTTTTGGAGCAAAGAATGGTATAAACAATAAAATAAGTACGCAAAATATATTTGTGGGTTAGAAGCTGAAAGTGCTTAGTCCATTTGACTTCTATTTAGTGCATGGTTTATAATTTTCTGTAAGTGAGGCCTGGTCACAGCACTGTATAATCAGTCTTCACAAAAGCCATTTTCAAAATGTTTGTAATTTGACCCTTGAGGCAGGGGAAGGCCGCTGGGGCACGGATGAGCTTGCCTTCAATGAAGTCCTGGCCAAGAGGAGCTACAGGCAGTTACGAGCCACCTTTCAAGCCTATCAGATTGTAAGTAATAAAGTATTGGGGCAGAAGAGTTCACTCTGAAAGTGTCTTATTTCCCAAAGAGGCCAAGATCTGCAACAAAGAATTGGGGATCCGGCTGGGCGCGGTGGCTCATGCCTATAATCCTAGCACTTTGGGAGGCCGAGGCGGGTGGATCACGAGGTCAAGAGATCGAGACCATCCTGGTCAACATGGTGAAACCCCGTCTCTACTAAAAATACAAAAAAAAATAACTGGACATGGTGGCGTGTGCCTATAATCCCAGCTACTCAGGAAGCTGAGGCAGGAGAATTGCCTGAACCCAGGAGGCGGAGGTTGCAGTGAGCCGAGATCGCACCATTGCACTCCAGCCCTCTAGCTTGGGTGACAAGAGCGAAACTCCATCTCAAAAAAAAGAATTGGGGATCATTTATAACAGTGGATCTCAATTGGGGGTGATTTTCCTACCCCGGGAATATTTGATAATGTCTAGAATGATTTGAAGTTGTCACAGCTGGGGATGGTGGCCCTGGCATCTAGTGAACAGAGGCCTGGGATGCTGCTGAACAGCCTACAGTGCACAGGACAAAGAATCCCCAAAGAATTGTCTAGACTCAGATGTACTATGCAGGCTGGAAACTGGCTTCACAACAGAGGCCAGGGAAGCAAGTGTCCCATCCAGGGACAAAGCTCTAGAGTCCAAGAGCCCAGGTGCAAATCCTGGGTCTACCACTGGCAAGTGACCAAATTTCTCAATCCTCTTTTGTAAAACAGGGACCATGAACATCATTTCACACCCTCAGAGTGATTTTAAGGTTAAATAAGATGAAGATTCAGAACAAGCCAGGAGTGGTGGCTCATGCCTGTAATCCCAGCACTTTGGGAGGCCAAGGGGTGGGGGGATCATGAAGTTAGGAGTTCAAGACCAGCTGGGCCAAGCTGGGGAAACACTGTTTCTACTAAAAATACAAAAATTAACCAGCTGTGGTGGTGGGCACCTGTAATCCCAGCTACTCGGGAGGCTGAGGCAGATAATTGTTTGAAGCTGGGAGGCGGAGACTGCAGTGAGCTGAGATGGCACCACTGCACTCCAGCCTGGGCAACAAAGCAAGACTCCATCTTTAAAAAAAAAAAAAAAAAGACTCAGAACAGTAGTGGGCATGTGGCAAGCATACAAATATTTGCCATTATTGCTCCAGTTTACAGTTGGCTAACGGTGCCTACCTTTGTCAAGACAGATAAGACAGGCTCCTGAAAAGATGCACATAAATTATTTTTTAATCTCAGGATAAATTTCAGCCCACAAGGTGAGTTAGTTATTTCAAGGCACTTAGCAGTAAGTCCTTCCCTGAAAAGCAGTCTTTAATTGCAGAAAGCCTGGAGTGGAATATCAGATTTTTTTTTTTTTTTGGCATCCTATTTTATATGTGTAGTGCTTTTACCTATTCAAAGCACTTCTATGTCATGTGTCTCATTCAATTTCACAATAACACCATAACTACAACGTAGGCTGAACAGTTATTGTGACCCACAACTGCTGGACAAGGAAAGTCTGTTGAGTGAGGAACCATCTGTAACTTATCAGGACCACACAGCAAGTCGGTAGCAGAGAGTGGATGAGAACTCCAAGAATCCCCGGCCTGAGTTCCTACCTCAGCTGAAGCTGGCTGCTCCTCGCGCCAAGTTGCATTTCCTACGTGTTGCCAGCAGATAAAAAGACAATAAAGCTCTGAAATTTTATCATGACTGTATATAAGCCTTTAGGGCCCACTGCTTTCAGATCGTGCCCAGAGTCATGATCAAAGACAGCTGACCTGCACTCCCTGGTCTCTTGTTCCTGGAGCTGCATAGCCTCTGAGCTGGAGGACTTCTCTATGACTGAGATCCTCTTTCCACACTACGGAGACCACAGATGAAGATTCTGGGTACATGCAAGTGTGTGTGTATGAACTGACCACCTGAAAGTACACTCTCCAGGCTAATATATCCAAGTTGATCCTGAAATAGCATCAGCATCACTTGAAATTTGTTTAAAATGAGAATTCTCAGTCCTCATCAGACCTGTTGAATCAGATTCCATGGGGCTGGGGTCTTACTACCTATCTGTGTTAGAGCAGGTGTTCCAGGTGATTCTAATGTATATTACAATTTAAGAAGTCCACTTTAGGCTATAGCTGTATGGTTCTCACCCAAGTTATTAAGAGTTCTGTGCCTCAGTTACCCAAACTGTAAAATAGGGATAATAGTACCTACTTCATAGGGTTAATAAGGATTAAATGAATTAACAGAAATAAGCACTTAGTACCTGGCAGGCAACAGGCATTCAATAAACATTAGCAATTGTCAGGAGTCTCCCTGGGTGAACAAACAATGCCATAAATCAGAGCGAAAGCTTTAATGCACAATAAGGTAATCGTGGATTTCATGATTCATTACATGAAACCAGCTCTAAAATGCTCTCTATGCATCCATTTCAAAAGCTTTGCTCAAGCGTCATTCATCTTGGTATTTATTGCTGATGCTTTTAGAGTTCAGTCTGCTCTTAGACCCTGGTCTATGAGTTTTCTGATGGCTTCTGACCAAAAGCACAGAGATGCTAGTCTGAGATCAGCATCTGGAGTTTCTTATGTGGCCTGAGTGGTCCTGGCTTAGGGTCGAATTTTAATTTTTGGCACAAAAACTCAGGGTTTTGCCATTTATTTTGCTCTAAGCCTGAGACTTAACTTCTGACACTCCCAGCAATCCCAGGCCAAGCAACGGAGTTTCCCAAACTGCTGCATCATGCAAGATTATTACAGTCCCTGGTGTTACCAAATATGAAAGACTCATACAGTTATAAAGCCAAAGTCAAGTCTCTGAACCGGGCTCAGTATAAACGGTTGGTACGCACACTCAAAGCCCATTTTGCCGCCTCCCCACCGCATGCCTCGCCACTTGCTCCTCCCCTGTATGTGTTCCTCAGCCCTTGCCAGAGGCTTCAGCCTCTAACTGCTATAGTCAAAGCCAGAGTGCATAGAATTCTGTTGTCAGTGTGCTGTCCATTGGGGCAACCAATTTTAAGAGAAAGAAATGTCTCTCCTGCTCTTCTAATAACCTCCCGACAGGCATTGCTACCTATCTAAATAGAGTCTTAGAGACTTGTTTGGAATCTAACCTCATAACGTGTTTTTCTACTAAGATCAGAAAACCTGCTCCTATACAAAGAGCCCCTAAGAATCATGTTCCAGAAACTAAAGTGAGAAGTATGCAAAGTACAGTCCCAAGAGCTTAGGCCAGACCATTGTGTCAGATTGTGTCCCACAGAGGTGCCTCAGCAGCTACCAGGAGTGGGGTGGTGCAGGAAGCAGACAGACAAGTACCTTCTTTGTTGTAGTATATGAATAGCGCCTCCTGGAGTTGCGCAAGGAAAAAACCTGTGAGGGTATTGATGCCAAAGGCTAGGGAAAGGAGCCTACCTCCCACCAGCCACCACAGCTCTGCTTTCTGTTTTCATTTGTTTTGTAGGCTGAGATTCTACAGAAAATTTAAAATCCCTGTTCTAGCCTGGTATTAACAATAGAAATGGAAAATGGTTTAATGTGAGGATTTTTTAAAGTAAACAAGACCTGTGTGAACAAAATGTTCTCTTGAAGTATGATCTCAGTCTACAGAACAAGAACCTTGTTTCTGGGAAAGGGATACCCATCCCTTCCAAAATAATGACTCCCATATCAAACCCAAGAAAGACTGGGGGTAGCTAAGGAAGGGACAGTTCTCCCACTCTTCTAATCTGGTTTCTATTGCCACACACCAATGCCTCCAGATATGCAAACAACGACTAGGAGATCGAGCAACAGGGCTTTGTTAAATCTGGACGCAGGTCCTCCCCCCAAATGCATTGCCCTTACATCACAAAGAACATTTTGTTTACCTGTGTTTTCAAAATAAACCACATAAACTCCACTGGTGCATACTCAAAGACCCCAATTATTTATAGAATCAATTGTGTCATATGCTCAAAAGATATTTTCTAAGAAAGAAGTTTCAGCATTTCTGGTGCTTAATTGCATTTCCCCAAACCCAGCAAAGCATTCTCCTTTCTCTTTATGTGCCTGCCCTGAGCTTGGCCTGGGCAGTATTTGTATTAAGGATAGTCACAATTTACTCTGAGCTTCAGCTTCTGTAAATATTTAGAAAGAAACCTAATGTGTAATGCTGTGTAGAACGATATGTGAGCCAGTGGTGAATATAGCATCATTTGGAATTACCCCAGAGTGAAGACAAGTTGCATTTTAATGCAGTCAGCAACCCCCCCCAGCTTCCAGCCCTTGCAGACCTACCCTATCAGGAACTTTAGATCAAGTTTTTACCATGAACTTCATCATCCCTACTTATTTCACCCAAACTGGGACTAAGTCCCTGGTTCCGAGGCGAGGGAGAGGATGGAGGTGCAGGTCAGACAATCATAACCACAGCCTCCAGGGAAACTGAAACTGGAAAGGGTGAAGAAGACATTGGAACTAAACTACACATCAGTGTAAAAAATGTCTATGATTATAGTATATTAATTGTTTCTCCACTCAGATTTTACAGATGAGGAAACTGAGGTTGAGGGAGTGGCACTGACTAGAGTCAAGTCCATTAGGAATCATATCTAGATTGATTCCTCAGCAATGAGAGCCCCCTCTCGAATGGGTGGCACACACCCCAATCCTACAAAGCAAGAGTCAGGATAGGAGTTCCCTGAAGCCACAGGACTAAATCTGGAAACATTTAGTGCTTTTTATAGAGGAACAACCCCAAGAGTGCAAAGGTCAAAGGCAAACCTGGAATAACAGCTGATTTTGGTTTTCTCTGCAGCTCATTGGCAGAGACATAGAAGAAGCCATTGAGGAAGAAACATCAGGAGATTTGCGGAAGGCCTATTTGACTCTTGGTAAAGTTAGGAGGGTTTTTGTCTGAGGTTGGGCTGCCTGGAACCAGATGCAGACAGAGGTTTGTGTGTAGGAAGATTTGAGGGAATAGCTTTTGGGTGTCAACACATCTAAGCAGCACTGAGCAAGAGGGAGAGTGACTGTGACATAGTTGCAACAGGGGCTTTGCTGGTCCCACAGGAAGCTCTGAAGCTGGGATGTCCAAAGTGGAGCAAGGGGCCCAGGCTTTTGCATCCCATATCAACCAGTCATAGGACACTGGCTGTACCAGGGGAACATGTGCCACTTTGGGCAAGCCAGCTTCTCCCTTGAAGGGAGATTCCTGGGGAGGAACTCAGCTGTGAATGACTGCCTCAATCCTGAATAGGGCATCTGAGTGGCACACCACAGCATCCATTGCAGTCCCACTGTATTAGTCCCTTTTCATGCTGCTGATAAAGGCATACCCATGACGGGGTAATTTATAAAGAAAAAGAGGTTTAACGGACTCACAGTTCCATGTGACTGGGGAGACTTCATAATCGTGGCAAAAGACAGAAGGCACGTCTTACATGATGGCAGACAAAGCAGAATAAGACCCAAGCGAAAGGGGAAACCCCTTATAAAATAATCAGATCTCATGAGACTTATTCACTACCACCACAAGAATAGTATGAGGGGAAACCACCCCATGATTGAATTATCTCCCACTGGGTCCCTCCCACAACATGTGAGAATTGTGGGAGCTACAATTTAAGATGAGATTTGGGTGGGGACGCAGCCACACCATATCACCCACTAAGACCATGGGTCCCTGAGGGCACCTGTCAACAACCTGGGACCATTATCCAGTTTCTGGCACCCCGATGGCTCATAGGTTTCCTTTTCCATTGGGTTCCTTTCAGTGTTTTCAAAGAATGAATTTTGTTTGGAAAGAGATGGGATGGAGATCAGATCTTGATTGTGCCAACGAAACCCCAGGACCTCCTCTCCAGGTGTTGCCCACAGGCAGGAAATAGCAGAGAGATGGGCATGGAGCTATGTCTGGCAGGCTCCTTTTTTTCTTTCTGCAGGCCCTGGAATGAAGGCATTGTCCATTGTCCATGCTCCTGTGGTGAGGAATCCAGGGCACCGTCCCAAATGGCAGAAGCAATGGAGATAACAGTCCTCAGAAGAGGAAGGACCGAATAAGCAGCCCTGGAAGTTTAAAAATGTGCTCCAGTTGCCAAACTCTTTTGTTTGGTTTCTTTGGGGTTTTTTTTCTTTTTTTTTTTTTGAACAATGTCAGCAATTGATTTTTTTTAATCCATCCTTATTTTGCATTCAATAAGCAAGACCTCTGCTGTGATATCCCGAGGCCTAAAAATCCCAGGTGTTGCTCATGACCCAGGCTGGGTATATATGGGAGCCCTGGTTCAAGTAACTGTGCTTAGGGCCTTAACCCATTTATGCCAATTTTTTGAACGCAGATGTGTGAAAAATTAGATCCTGGCTATGACCTTGAGCAGTAGGATATAAATAACCCTGACATGCTTATCATTCCAAGAATGAAACACTAGGCATAATTAAGAAGAGTCTCAGGTAGATAATAGGATCTACTCATGGCCTGGTTCTGAGGCTCTACGTCCTTGCTATGCTGTACTTGCAATGCAGAGAATCGGGAAAACACCTGAGTACAGTCAGGAGATGGTATTACAACTACTCAATGATTTAACATTTACCCAACACCTACCTGGGTCCAGAGTTTGCCCTGGGTGTGGGGATAAGAGGTGAATAAGACCAGTTCTTGCCCTTCAAGGAGCTTAAAGCTTATGGTGAATTGTAATCTGGTGGGTACAAAAAGTCAACAGATCAGGCTAAAGTTAAAGATTAAAAACGAAGGGCAAAGTGGATACGGATGAAGGAAAGCCAAGTCCCTGGGTTTGGGGACCAGACACTCTCAGAGTGGGCTGTACTCCAGTGCTAGTGAAAGCCGAAGTGATTAGAAAAGACCTTGAGAATAAGCCACACAACAGAATATGGCTTTATGACTACTTTCTAAACACTTCCCACCCCTCTCCCAGCTAACTTACAGCTATGCCAGTTTAAGACTAACATCTAGGAGCAGGGGGCTGAGGCCAAATGACTCCCACCACATGCAGCATCTAGAGCAGCATTTCTCAAAGTGAGGTCCAGGGACACCCTGCCTCAGAATCCTGTTACAATGCAGGTTCCTGGGCCCCACTCCAGGCTCCCTTTGAGAACCTCCAGGAAGGGAGCCCAGGAAGTCACTTTTTTTTTTTTTAAGAGAGAGTCTCGCTCTGATACCAGGCTGGAGTGCAGTGGTGCCATCTCGGCTCACCATAACCTCTGCCTCCTAGGTTCAAGCCATTCTCCTGCCTCAGCCTCCTGAGTAGCTGGGACTATAGGCATGCACCACCACACCCAGCTAATTTTTTGTATTTTTAGTACAGACGGGGTTTCACCGTGTTTGCCAGGATGGTCCCAATCTCCCGACCTCGTGATCCACCCACCTCCACCTCCCAAAGTGCTGGGGTTACAGGTGTGAGCCACCATGCCCAACCAAAGCCACACTTCTACAAGCTGTCCAAATGACTGTGTTATACACACAGCAAGATCAGGAACTTGCTCTGAAGGCAAAGGGGAGCAAGATATGGAGCACAGGGCTGGCTGCCCTTCCTGCCGCTCACTGTGAAGAGGGTTTTTTTTGCTTTTGTTTCTGTTTTTCAAGTCACAGTTTCACTCTGTCACCCAGGCTAGAGTGCAGTGGTGCAACCTGGCCCACTGCAACCTCTGCCTCCCGGGTTCAAGTGATTCTCGTGCCTCAGCCTCCCGAGTAGCTGGGATTACCATACCTGGCTAATTTTTGTATTATTAGAGACACAGTTTCACCATGTTGGCCAGGCTGGTCTTGAACTCCTGACCTCAAGTGATCCATCTGCCTTGGCCTCCTGAAGTGCTGGGATTACAGGTATGAGCCACCATGCCCAGAAGGTGTTTTATTCCACATCTTCTCTGGCTATCCCTGCCCAGCCTTTTGAGGGATTCCTGCTGCTGCTAACAACAGAGGTTGTTCCCATGCATAGATTCCAGACAGGAGAAATGTTGAGAGTTTTTAAAAATGTTAAAGAAGAGCCCTATGCAGGAGCAGAACACAGTGACTTTAGGCAGACAGTGATCCCCACATTAAGTCATGCTACATGGAAGAGGATTTTCGGGAAAACTTTGTGGTGCTCACTAGCTCAGATTGTCTGCAGACCACAGTGAGTCTCAATATGCTACTCCCCAAGTAGCATACAAGTTCCCCCTGAACCACCAATCCAGCAGCTCTTGGGTTGTCCTCAGGAGAAAGAGGCCAGACACTTTTTCTTTTCCAGTGTGATTTTCTTTTCCATTGTAACTGTGGCAGCTGCCACATGGCCTGGAGCAGGAGACTGGCCCCCAACCTAGACTCTGCTTCCCTCACCTGTCTTCTCCCCTGCTTATAAGCGTCAATCACACAGGTGGTCCCCCAGACGACAGCATCCCCTTATGGGACAGTTGCACATTCTACATGTATGCTGAAATAATCACTTACTGTTAATCACTAACATCATCAAGTATTCTAGAGAAATGTTAACAGCCTAAAGAACAAATCTTTTTTTCTCTAACCTGTTAGTCAAGATGGATCCATATAAGCCTGGGAGGAGGGGAAGGAATGATTTATTCCCAGAAGAGAGGCTGGGATCACCTGCTTGATGAATACAGACCATGCTTCATTAAGCTGTGGATAGATCAAAGCTGGAAGGCAAGGGGAGGCCAGGAACGAGCAAATAGCAGCATCGTAGGACAGTGATCTTTAAAGAGGATCAAACATTTCATCAAGTCCACATCCCGGACTGCAAACCAAAAGATCATGGGGAACCCGGAAAAGGTTCAGAGATGAGACTCACAAAAAAAAGTCCAGCGAGGAAAAACAAAGGGTGGGAGGCTGCTGAGCAGGAGAGCAGGCGGCTGTCCAGCTTGACACACGGTCAAGATGATGTTTTATTCCAGACAGTTGCTGGCCAATCTGTTTCCCTTCAGAACCCTACAACAGCACCCGAGATTCCACTTAGATAGGGAAAGTTACTTCTGCTGGGAAATAATGAAAATCACAGATGTGGCTGGGAAGGCCCAAGGATGCTGCAGCTCTCCTCTGGAGGGTCTTCGGGGGACATGGGAGGAGCTCTGCTTGAAGTTTCCAGGTGCTCTGACCAGGGAATCTTCCGAATCTCATTTCACAATAGTGTCAAGTCAGCGCCTTTCAAATCTGCCTCACCATTCAGTCATCTTGAAGGGGAGCCAGGTGACATTCGGCAGGGTGGGTCCCCATGTCATTCCACAAAACTTGAAAGCCTCACATTTTCTTTTCCTTTACTCTGTTTAGTGAGATGTGCCCGGGACTGCGAGGGCTATTTTGCTGAATGTCTATACAAGTCGATGAAGGGTGTGGGGACGGATGAGGAGACATTGATTCGTATAATTGTCACCAGGGCCGAGGTAAGACACTCCCACTCCAAAGAGACTGCTGCAACTTCTGTTGTTTCCACTGCTGATGTCATCAACAAATAGTTTCTATTAAGGACCTATTTACAGAAAAAGTAAAACAGAGACAGCCCTTGCTTTCCCAGAATTTGTAGAAGATGTTGTGCTCCACTTCAATCTGTTTCTTTTTATAAAACTACAGTGATGATCGTTGCTTCTTATTTTTCCTCTGTGGCTCCAGAGAGCTCATGGAGGGAAGCAGAGGCAACCCTGTAGAGCATTTCTGTGGGGCTGCAGCCACACACGGCTCCATCTTAAGGAAGACAAAACAAAGACACTTGAAAGTGGTCAGCCAGCAGCAGGGACAATAAGAGAGATTTTCAAGTTCCTGAGCTAGGCCTTTCCTTAACGGCCACACTGCAGAAGCAAACATATTAGCATAAGGCAATGGTTCTCTTTTTAAAAACTATTGCTCCTCTCAGGAGCCTTTTTAGACACGTGTTTCCTCATTATGATCCCTTCCACCCACGAAATTTTAACGCCAGAGATAAGACTATAAATCTGTTCATATACCATGTGGATATCAGTGCTTTATACATAAAAATATTAAGGTTTTTTTCATCCCCTAAGAACCAATTTGTGTTCGCTCTCAGAGAATGTGTGTGTATAAAAAAGAGAAAGGAGAGGAGGAGCCAGCAGCTTGGGAGCAGCCGTCAGGATCACAGCTTGCTGGGTGCGGTGGCTCATGCCTGTAATCCCAGCGCTTTGAGAGGCCAAAGTGGGTGGATTACCTGAGGTCAGGAGTTCAAGACCAGCCTGGCCAACATGGTGAAACCCTGTTGCTACTAAAATTACAAAAATTAGCTTGGCATGATGGCACTCTTCTAGAGCCCCAGCTACTCAGGAGGCTGAGGCAGGAGAATTTCTTGAACCCAGAAGGCAGAGGTTGCAGTGAGCTGAGACAGCACCACTGCACTCCAGTCTGGGTAACAGAGCAAGACTTGGTCTCAAAAAAAGTCACTTTGGGATACGGGACCACAGACAGAGGAGGTACAAAATAGGGAAGCGGCATTTCATTGGCAGCAGGAGGGAAGCGGCATTTCATCGGCAGCAGGAGAAGCCTTAAGGAATGAAGTGGAAGTAAGCACTTGAAAACCACAGACATCTTCCCTCAAAAAAAATTGTTGTTAAATGAAGGAGGAGGTGAAGGGGGAAGGAGACCAACGCAAATTCTCATCCATGGCTTCTTAACAAATAATACTTAACATCTGACACTGTTTTTAAATATAACTTTGCAACAAGACGGTTCCTGCATTTTTACTTCTATTACTGGAATTTCTCCTTCCTCCCTTCTCCTCCTCCACTACTTGTCTTTTTTTATTGAAGGCCACGTCTCTCTCTCCACCCTCTTTCCCTTTGCTGGTCTCTCTGCTCTGCTCCTGCCATGCCTCTGCCTCTCTCTTCCATTGCTGCAAACCCCTCTCCCTCCCTTTCTCTCCAGGTCTTCTGCCTTGTCTATCCCTCTGTCTCTTAGCAACTCAACCTCCAGCCAAAGTCACTGAGAGATGAGAGATTTTGAAGGTCTCAAAAGGGGCAGGTTGAACACAATGAAGACCCAGGATTCCAAAAGACTCCCAAAGAGATTGCATCCATCCGAAGGGTTTGTGAGGGTTCCATGATCACTCCAACCACGGAGTGTTTTATTCCAAGAACCTCTGTCCCAGCTCAGAATTAACCACACATCCTAGGCCATCTTAACATGTGAGCAGTTCCCTCAGAAGGCTTCAGGTCCAGCCAGATAGGGTAGTTTGGCCAAATTTCCTAATCTCCTAAAGCCACATGGCACTAGAACAGAGACCTGGTGTACCTCATCCCCACCCACCCTCCACCTTCCTGCCCCTCCCCCAGCACGAGACAAGGGGCCAAGCAGTGGGGAAGGGGGACACACGGGCTGGGGGAGAGACAGACACCACCTGCTTCCTGCAGTCTCTGCCACCCACTCAGCATCCACTGCAAACCCTCCCTCACTCCCCTACATTCTCCTGTCCTGATCATTTCTCTCACTCTGTCAGCTCAGCCCTGTAACTGAAGCAGAAGAAGAATCAGATCCTTGAGCCACGTTTTTTGGGTCTGGAGTAGAAGGTAGGGTCTAAGCCAGAAAAGAAAAAGAAAAAAGAAAAGGCAGGAAGGCTCCTGTTTAAAAAGAGTTCTCTGCTGCTTTTATGAGTCCCATTATGTTCCACCTGGAATTGCGTCTTTCCTGGTACAAGCCTCATCTCCTTTGCTAGGCTGCAAGAGTCTTTTGGTGGAGCAATCTTGGAATATAGTTCTCTCCCAAGTCCTATCATCACTTCCAGCACCTAAGTTTTTCAAGCTTTGAATGAACTAGATTCAAAATAAATCCTGCAAGTTGATATGATTTGAATCGTGTCGACTGGCACTCATATCCTTGCCAATGAGGGTATGAGGAGAAACCCGCTTAACTGCTTAATTTCACATCTCTGTGTTGACTATTTTGTTACTTTATTCCAGGGGTCAAGTCAGGCCCCTGCCAGGTTGTGTACAGCCTTGCTAGCTGGGGCGATTCATTTTCAAATAACTGTTGAAACTCAAAAGAAAAATAATATTTTGTAACATATAAAACCCGTGTGAAATTTAAGAGTTTTAGTGGAACACACACACACATGGACACCTCTGCAACCTTTGGGAAATTGACCTCTGTCTTCCCTTCCCTGGTCACAAAATGGAAATAATTATCACACTATCTCAAGGGGCTGTTTGAAGGCATGAGTGAGCAAATGAGTATAACGTGTGTAGAACAATGCCCACTGTTTGTGAACACACCATAAATGTTCTTGTCCCCATTGCTGTTACTTTTCTACAGGTGGACCTTCAGAGGATCAAAGCAAAGTTCCAAGAGAAGTATCAGAAGTCTCTCTCTGACATGGTTCACTCGGACACCTCTGGGGACTTCCAGAAACTGCTGGTAGCGCTCTTGCACTGAGCCAAGCCAGGGTAACAGGAACACAGGATGGAACTGCCTTTGTCAAGAGCACATTCCAAATCAAACTTACCAATGACACTCCTGCACAAAAAACCCTCAAGAGTCCTGGATTACTTTCTTGGCAGCCTAAGGAGCGCAGCCAGGCCAAGCTGTCTAAGTTAAGGGCAGAAATGTCAAGATGCGTGGGCAGGGTACCTTGAACGCTGGCTTAGCAAGCATCTGGGCTGCCTCTTCACTTTCCTTTAGCATGGTAACCGATGCTTTCTAAACACAAATGAAATCAGAAGTCAATGAAAAAGTGATGCATTTGTCATGGCACATTTAGAAGAATATGCATCACACAAGGGTGTGTATGCTCTGGGTTAAGATTGAATGACTGAGGTACAGGAAAGACAAAATTAAACAATTTATTAATTTTCCCACTGTGTGTTGTGTTCAATTTCAAGGCCTCATTTGTTAATTAAAGTTGTGGCATATGCCCCTATCAGCTGCTTTTCCAAAGACTGTCTTGATTAGTTTGGGCTCTTGTCTTGGAAACATATGACTTGTGAAATTCAAACATACATTTGTTAGTGGTCACTAATCAAGGCTAGTCATAAGGAAGCAATTAACTTGCTTTTGAAAAATGTAACTAGGGGTAAAATTCCCTAATCTGCTACCTGGTTTAATTGGGTTTTCTTCTCTGCACATTTGACCCACTTGAGTCTTCTGTCTGACCTTCAAATACAATTAGGCTGAGCAAAGTGCCAACAGGATCAAGGACAATGGTCTACCTCTGAAGTGAATTGGCTTCACACCAATAGATTCTGTGTTCCAAGACTTTAGTCTCATAGCCACGTGTTGCCAGACCTATGTCTGTCCGGAGAACCTGGACACCTTGGCTCAATAATCATAGCTATCATTTATTTGCTGATTATTTGTGCCTGACACTACTGAGTAGCACAATTTCATTCTTAATCCTCCCCACAGCTCTCTGGGGTTAATATTACTCACAATTATCAGTTGAGGAAACTGATACATTAAGTAACCTATCTAAATTCATTTATAAGTGCCATTTTCACATTGCTATAAAGACATACCCGAGTTATAAAGAAAAGAGATTTATGTGACTCACAGTTCCACAGGGCTGGGGAGGCCTGGGGAAACTTACAATCATGGTGGAAAGGGAAGAGGCACGTCTTACATGGCAGCAGGAGAGAGAGAGTGGTAAGCAAAGCAGGGAAGATGCCCTTATAAAACCATCAGATCTCATAAGAACTCACTCACCATGATGAGAACAGAATGGGGGACACTGACCCCATGATCCAGTCACCTCTCACCAGGTCTTTCCTGGGGATTACAATTGACACATGCTGATTACAATTCATGATGAGATTTGGGTGGGGACAATGAGCCAAACCATATCAATTAGCATTTGAATCCAGGGCTGGCTGACACCAGAAATCACGCTACTAACTGCCTTTCTTGGAAAAATCACTTGAAGTACATGGGAATGGGTCTGTATTCATTCATCTGTTTAATTCTCTACTATCTGCCAATCACTGTGCTGTGCTCTGAGGATACAAAGATAAGTAGAACACTGAATCCCCTTGGGGCAGTTCATTCCCAGGTCAATAATGTCTCTTTTAATCAATAAAATGCTATAAGTGCATTTATAAGAGCAATGTATTTGTCCAATTTCACACTGTTATGAAGAATGATCCGAGACTGGAGAATTTGTAAAGGAAACAGGTTTAATTGACTCACAGTTCCACCTGGCTGGGGAGGTCTCAGGAAACTTACAATCATGGCAGAAGGCAAAGGGGAAGCAAAGCCCATCTTACATGGTGGCAGGAGAGATGGGGGTGGGGAGAAGTGCCACACTTTTAAACCATCAGATCTTGTGAGAACTCACTCACTATCACAAGAACAGCATAGGGGAACTCTCCCGCCCCCCATTCAATCACCTCCCAGCAGGTCCCTTCCTCAACCCATGGGAATTACAATTCAAGATGAGATTTGGATGGGAAGAGAGAGCTAAACTCTATCAAACAGGTAAAGGGCTCTACCCATAAGCAGGAAGAGAGAACATACAGCTCTGCATTTGAAACTGGGGAACGCTTCCCAGAGATGCATCTGTGCCGGGTTTTAAAGGATGCATAGAAGCTCTCCAGAAAAATAGAAGAAGAAGGGCACAAGCAGAGGCTGGAGAAGCATGAGTGGGCAGGATGTGTTCAGGAAGAGGTGAAATCCATTCTCCTGGAGCACAAATATGTGGAAAGAAAGGAGTGGCCCCAGCAGGCAGGCAAAGCAGCTGCTGAAAATAGGTTTGAACCACATCAGCCATGGTTCTGCCTGCCAAGCATGAGTTTGGTCCTTTGGGCAACAGCAGTCATTGGAGATGTTTAAACAAGAAACAGGATCACATTTGGGCTTTGGGAAATCACCTTAGTAGCTGCTAAACATAGAGGGCTCTGTCAAGAGAACCTGGACACCTTGGTCCAATAATCATAGTTATCATTCATCGGCTGATTACTTGTGCCCGACACTACTAAGTAGCACAATCTCACTCACTCCATTTGGTGGTGTGATCAACATATAACAGATAACAGCCCAGTCTAAGGATAGACGTCATAATCGTCTTTTTAGTGGCTACAAAACAGTGATGGACATATTAAGTTATGTAAGCATCAGTGTCTTCAACATCCTGGTTTATCTACTTAATAGTCATTGCCATCATTATAAGCTTTAATACATACAAAATTATTTTCTAGAACAAAGCTCAGTAACAAAACATACTTGTATTTACCTATTTGTTGCCAAAGATGCTATTTGCTTTTATAACCAGAAACAAAACAACCAGTTCTTGAGATCTGAACCCATGGTAAGGACAGAAAAACAAATCAATGGATTGAAAAGAGATCTATTAAAAACAAATCATTTGAGGTTGTTGATGGCCACAATTAACACAGAGACAAGCAAGAAGGTATTTCACAGGTGGAGAAACTGCAGCTGATAAGATAGAGAGGCCAGGTCATTTACTCAAGCTCACCCACAGAAAGTACTAGGGCTAGAATTCAACCCAAGTCCTTCTGCCTCTAATGCCTGTGCTCTTTGCCAGACAAGCTCATGGTCCATGAGTGCTTTTGTCTGAAATTTTGCTGAGAGAAACATCAAGGTTCCTTTCTGTGGCTGCTCAATATTGCTCACCACTTGCAAGCTGGAGCCAGTTTCTAGGTACTCGCCTGGGATCTGGTCTGTGCTAGACATGCCCCGCCCTTCCTCTTCTGTGGAGGAAGCTCAGAAATGTCTTCTTTCTTCCCTTCCATACACCCTACCCTGCCCAGGTCCCTCTGACCTCTCCCTGTGCCCCCAGCCTCAAGGGAAGCACCTGCCTGTAGAGAGAGGGAAAGGGGAGGATAAAATAGAAAGAAGGGAAAGAGGAGAGCAACACTATCTTGCCATCTCTCCACTAAACAGGCCTATTCCTCTTACTAACCCCTTCCTCTGGGGCCACTGGAGGAACATCAGCTCCTGCCACCCAGATGCTTAGATAGGTGGGGGGACTCTGAACCGCATCTCCAGGGCTGCACAGAGGAGACTGTATCCTGTCAGGGCATGCCATTCCCCATGAAATTCTGTGCCAGGCCCTGACTGGGCTCCACACTATTGCTCACTCACAATGAGCCACCTGGGTTTTGTAGGTGAATAGACTCTGGGGAGCTGGCCTGGGTGAACCATAGAAGAAGCTGAAAGTCCCCCAACCCCACCCCAGGAGACAAGCATGTCCCATGACTTACTGTGGGAGCTTCAGCCCTCCACAGATTCCTCTCAGTAGCCCTGAGGCTTCCAAGTGGCTCCCCCATGCAGGCCCACCCCTAAAATGTGTGGGTTCAGTGCATCTCTTCAGCTTCTGCCTCTGTCCTGAACTGGGAGGGACCTATGAGGACAACTTGGCCACTCAGCCAACTTCTTTCCACAACCTGCTATGGACCCTGTGAAGAGACCCACAGCAACCTTGGAAGCCAACTCAGTGCTCAGGGCAGGACATTTTGAAGTCACAGGTTCCTTGAGCTAGGTCAAGAAAAGGGTGTCCAAACACAAGTGGCTGCGTCTCCTGGACCCCAGGGACTTCCCAGCCCAGGGGGAGGGGCCCAGCGAGGGAACGCAAGGGGGTAATCTCCAGAATGGGCCAGGGCAGGACCCCAGGGGCCGGGGGGGGGGGACACTGCTTCCATAAGCCTTTTGGAGTGGCATTGGCCACTCATGTTCTTAGTCTTTTCTGGCTTCTAACTCTCCTAGTTCTTCTGTTCAGGTTGCTGGGACCCTACATGGGCCTCAATCACATCAAATAGGCAAAATGCTCTCCTGCACATGTGCACATGCACAAAGACATACACATTCCACTTCCTCCTGCTGCACAGGTGGCACTCCCTAACCTGTACTTCTGGGGCCTGATGGAGACTGGAGGCAACAGCCTTTTGTCATTTCTTTTCAGCCCTACCCCTCACCAGGACTCAGGCTCTCAAGTCCAAAGGGCTAAAGGACAACTGGCCAGTTCCTATTTCCAATCATGTAATGAGCCTGGACCGAGAGTCTGCCATGGACCAAGCACGTGCTGGGTGCTCAGGGTCCCCGGGCAAGCCCCTCACGCCTCATCCTGCCCTTACGGTACTTCTAGTTTGTGGGGAGACAAATAATTGTCAAGTAAACAAACCCAACCAGAAAATGAGTACGGATTATAAAGCCATACATGAAAGAAACTGGAGCCTGTGGTGGGTGGTGATGGCTGGGCTGGAAGGGAGGGAGCAGGGAATTTCTTTTCATGGGCAGCAGGGGAAGCCTCTCTCAGGAAAGACAAGGATGGGAAGAACCACCCATACATTAGGCAGTAAGAGTTCGGGGCACAGAGCATGTGGGGATGACATACGGAAG